ATACTAATATAAGAAATGTTTAACATCTGTTTGACAATATATTCAAATGCCGCATTTTGCCGTTTACGAACGACACCTTAAAAGACCTAACATAATTAATGTACCTACATATGTAAATAAAAAATAAAAATATGAAAAGTCAAAATTTGTAAATAATATACCACCAAAATTATTCACTATTATTCCTGTTCCAGATATCAGCTATTTAAGTTATGTGAAAGAAGAAGTCACTCTGAAAAATCCGCAAAAAGATACGAGATTAAAAAATTCTTTAAACAATAAATTGATTAAAAAAAACAGATAAATTATTTTTTAAATATTGTTAAGCCCAAAATCTATGGTTCCCAGCGGAAATGTTGTGTTGAGTAGTGTTGTTAGTTACATAACTCTACTTTAATGGTATAATTAATATTGGTGTGCTAATTTTATTATGTTAAATTAATATTATCGTGCTATTTATTATATCATATATTATTATTTTTTCTTTATTATGTATTACTAGGTGACTCGGAAAGCGTTGTTTTGCCATGTATATTTTGTTTAGGTGTTCTATCAGCACTGATGACAATAGCGGGATTGTCACTTTGTAGTTTGTGCATGTGTGATTTGAATAATTTCAATAATTTATTGTGCTCATTTAACAGAGCGTCCAGCTCGCTGACTATACTCTTGTCAAGTTTATGATAGTCGAAACCACCCATAAAGTAGTTTAGAAAAATGTATGAGATTCGTTTAGCGTTGGCAGCAATGAGCCCACTTTGTGATAAAGTTGGCATTTAATTTTGAACGTGGATTTAAATTGGTGACCGTTTGCAGCAATATTGTTAACTATTTCTATTGCTCCAAATGATGTCATTTGGAAACATGAATTGAATGTGCAAATTGACTTCAAAAACATGCTACGATCAGGATCTGAGCGATAAGTAATCCGTGCAATGGTTTCGGTGGTGTTTCATTTTCGGTTAACACATCGAGCAACACATCCCAGCTGGCCCATATTTAATTTTGAGTGCATGACAATGCGAACGTTCCTTTTCCAAAGTACCAATAACCACTTTAGAATCTGCATAATATCACTAACAATACAGTATACTGTATGGTTAGTGATAATATTTAACATCAGGCTCATGCTAGTCGAAGAAATAAATTTGATGTAAATTCTCTATGAAATTGTTGGCGTTGGTGGTCAATTTCTCTACGTCTTTCGACTATGTAGACACTGGGTACTAACCAGTGTGCCCGCAGCGCACACCAACGGCCACATTACCAGCTGAATTTTGTATATAAAGCAACTACGAGAAAGCCATAACCGGCCCGTCATCGGCGGCTGCAGCCAACATATCCGCCTCGAATTTCTCTCGAATCGTACTTCAGCCTCCGCAACTAGACTTCTCGGAGCGTAAGTGAACCTCCGCAACCAGACTTCTCGGAGCGTAAGTGAACCTCCGCAACCACACTTTTCGGAGCATTCTGGATATCTATGGAAAGTCTGCGAGGTTTTTTTTTCCTTGCCGCCGTCCGGGAGGAGCTTGCTTGATACTCCTCAGATGGAGGCAAGCGTTTTTTTTTTCAACTATTTACGTCTAGGTTACAGAATGTCAAAATCAGTATAGGGGTTTTCTTACATTATTTACATGCGACCATATTCATTATTTATCTCAAAAACCAAATTAAGGTTCCATAGCTTTTGATTCAATTAGTTGGTTTAAATTGTTTAAAAGCTAATTTAAACTTCAATTAAATGAACCCTTGGCGGGGATGATGCAGGCACGAGTGCTAAACTGTAAGCGATACACTTGCTTCGAGAGATGCGCGCAAAGAAACAAGTTGTAGGCTAAGCTAAAGCCGGGAGTGGGGATACAGGATCTGCAACCACCGCGACCAAAGGAGCGAAAGGGAAGCGTCCAGGAGTGCGAGACGGTCGGACCGATTTGCGTCGTCAAGTAGTGGACCGCAATTTAAATTGAACAGCACAATATATTTTCTGGAAGCAAGTGTGTCGCTTACAGTTTTCTATCGATTCGTTTCCTCAAAGGTTGCAGCAGGAGACAGCCGGAAAGAGATACGAGAGATGCGCGCAAAGAAACAAGTTGTAGGCTAAGCTAAAGCCGGGAGTGGGGATACAGGATCTGTATTGGTCCAACTTTGAGAAAGTCTTGAATCGCCAATAACAGCATCTGTCTTCTGAAGAATTGACGAAGCCAAGAAGACAAAGTCATACCAAGCAAGCAACGTAATGGCAGTTCGTTTGGTTGTACTTCCACTTCCACCAACAGTAGAACTCAGCAAACTTGTAGCTATTGCAATTCAGGAGACCATGTAGTGTCGAATTGCTGTCCATTTACGCGTCTCTCGGTTATGCAAAGGTTTGAGTTTGCCAAGTCGGCAGCCTTATGCATTAATTGTCTGCGAAAATGCCACGCTGTTGTAAAATGCAAAGCCAATAAATGTCGAGTGTGTCACATCATAGATTATTGCATCGATACACAGTAACTGCAAATAGTCTCGCGTTGCCACCGAGAGTACTTCTCCTCCGTCAAATCAGGATCAACCTTCCACGTCACTGCAGAAGGTTGGAAAATATCGTTGTTGTCTTCAAAGCCCAAAGTAGCGCCCCTTAAGACCAAAACGCTCCCATGGCTTCAGTTATGTGCCGCTCACCCTCTCGCAGATCCACGTTACAGAACCAAGCCCCTATTAAACGTCTGTATCGAACGAATCGTTTATTGGTCGGATTCAGTAGAAACTGTTCATTGGATTCGGTCTCATCCATCGTCGTTGTCGACTGCCGTTTCGAATAGAGGAAGATTCAAAAGTGGTCAGATGATGTTATATGGCGGCATGTACGCACGAAACAGAACTCAGCAGATATTGTCTCAAGAGGTTGTGACGTCAACGAAATCGTCCAATCAATCTGGTTCGAAGGATAATCATTTTAAGAGGATGAAGAAGAAAACTGGTCCAAGAACTCTCACCTAAAACCTTCTGTAGACCTTCAGCTGGAAAACAGGAAGACTGCGGTTGGGCTGACCGGTGCTGTGCGAAGTTCGGAGTCCTGTGGTTAAAAATTCGGACAAATGGCTTCAGTGGCAACCCAACCTGGCCGAGGACAATCTGCCACCGCAGGATCGGCTCGTCGGGAATGTCAACGCCACGCACGCAGAAGAGGGTCGTTGACCTCAGGACTAGCACTGGCATATTTTTTGAAATCGTAGTTTTGAAGTCCAGTGTAAGTTACGCTAGGGCAAAGAGGGAGCGTAATAAAAGCTCGCTCTTGCTGAAGATGCTAAGAGGTGAAGTTGTAAGAAAAAATAGAGCATTCGGTGAAATTGAATAATATCGAGCGAGATTTCCTTTCGTCTCGCCCAGCAAATTACAGCCAACCAAAAGTTTCGGATCTTGTTCTTTCATTTTATTTTTTTGATTATTTCTTTTACTATTTATATTTGAGGTTATATTCAAATTTATAAGAATTTAAAATGAACTAATACCCTTTATTTGGGCTCTCAAGGGTTGTAGCGCAGCAGCAGTATGTTTTGGGTAGAATAATAATGGTTATTTTTATGCTATTCTACATATAGTGTGGTTCAAGAGGGAGAACATTAACAGCTTGGTTCTCCAGCTTCGTTAGTAAACTTCAATTCCGGCCGGGTTTGTAGTTCCGATCCCTGGATCCGATATTCAGGATTTGACTTCTGATGGAAAGTGGCGCTACGTGCCAACACATCCAAACTGAGATTATTTTCTGTTGCTAGGCGAGTTGATCAAGTCTCCATGGTGTTTTGATCCTTCATTTCTACTCATTTCACTCGCTAAAGTGGCCCGCCGCAGTAGACTTACAGTCTACGTCTGATCGTAAGCAATCGACGTTTACCACAGCATTACCGACATCAGATGAGCGTCGTTTTGCTTCACATTACCTGATTTGAAACATTCAACAAACTTAATTTGCAGAGGATATTCGTTTATTTCAGAAGAAAAAACCATAAAAGAGCACCTTAAAGTTTAAACCCTTTTGAAAAACGTGAACGGATTTGAACTTAAAAAACGAAAGGGACCTACTAAATCGTTTACCTGCTCACCAAGGCTATTCATATCGAAGTAGTATTTGGCTTGTCTACGAAAGTGTCGCAAGTTGCCGGTAGACATATTCTGCGATAATGACACTACCTTTGTAGGGGCATCGAATCAACTGCAGGAACTAAAAAAGTTTATGTTCATGAAGCAGACCCAAGATAAAATTTATAAGTTTTGCGCATCGGATTTTATTGATTTCCATTTTATCCCCCACAGGGTCATTTAGGAAGCTGTTGGGAAGCGCTTCAGTCAAGAGTGCAAAGGGGCTGTTGAATCATGCGTTGGAAAATAGATTCATGTTTGAAGAGCTGAGCACTGTCGGAAGAGATTCTCAACTCGCGACCGTTATCACCGCTGCCGCCAGACCCAATTGACTATAGCGCTCAAACGGCTGGTCATCTCTTGGTTGGCGAATCTAACGATCACTAACTAAGAGGTCCGTGGAACACAACAACCTGTCAAATATAGAAAGCCGGAAACTAGGCCGAGTGCTATCTACTGTGCTTGTATGGGTACTCGCGTGTCTTTGGATACACACGCCTTCGCCGGAAACGAACTTTATCATGTTTTAAATTTAAGGATTGATATTTCCTACGAGTCATTTTAAATTGCTATAGGTTGAAGTATGATCATAACCCATAATAACAAGACACGGAGCCAGTTCAGTTCATTTGAATTAGCGCATCACTCAGGGGGGAGGGCAGCATCTCTGCTGGTGGCATATCATCCTTGTATATTTTTCTTGATTATTTTTTTCCTGGAAAACGGTTTGGTATGAATTTTATGTATAGCTTGATCAGAGGTAATGTAGATAGCCCCGACTTGCTAAACTGCACAAACGGATACAAAATTTGGTTAGTCTAGCTATTAAGGTGTCTGAGAGCTACTAAGTTTACGATAGTAAAAAGCGGATGACGGTCCTTTTATTGTCTCATTTATTAAAATATTATCCATAGAAATTTACCAATTTATGTAGTCTTACATTAGCTTGGTTTCTAAAACGTTCCTCTTTAATTTGAAATAATTTATGGCCTTTCGAGTCGACATAAAATGGATAGGTTGCTGATTTTTGTAATACAATTTTATTTCCTAGTGTAAAATGCATAATGTCGACGGCATGCTTTTTATTTTCTTGTACTGGGGATATTGGGGCAATAGCTTTTATTTCTGTATATCCATTCCTTGCATTTCGTTGCTCAACAATATTTAAACTTGTCTCATTTGCAATATTTTGATATGATTTCTGACGCATTAGCCCAATAATAAAAGCTTTAACTATGTGCTGAAGATTTGTAGAGCCTTCAATTTTTGCGTACAAATCTTTTATACCTATAACCTTGCAAATAGTTTGTATTGCACGATGGCATATTAATCCGTAGCCTTCAGGTTTTTTAAAACAATATATCTTTGTCTTTCCAAATCCTGTAAAAAAATCATGGTAGATGGTCCTGTTTTCACAAAGATCAATATTGATTAGTTTTTGTCCTGCCCGATTTTTTGACTTTCGAAGCGCAGTTCGAACTTCTGGGGCTTTAACTGTTGCGAACCCTCCTAAACCATTACCATTTCCAGTAACGGATAAAACAGAATATCTACGTTTTCGTCCCATATTTCCTTTCATAATAAAAACAATTTTATTCTCCAACACCCGGGTATCAAATGAACTGAATTCTTCTTCTCCCACAGTATCAGGGGGACCAATGCTTCTTCCTGGCATTTTACTTCCAGACCATCCACGATCTATTGAACTTAATTTCACCATTCTAAAGTTACTTAATGAATCGCGCAACTTAAAAATTCCATTTTCTCTGTCCAAGTTGTCAGAAAGTTTTTGCTGATATACGAGCTCATTTCCACGAATTATAGGTGAATTTAAGCCGGGCCATATGCAATTATTTTTCCCAAGTCCTATAGTTTGTCCTTTATTTAGGTCCTTCGCAACTTTTTTTCCACTTCCTTTCCCACGACCCCTTTTCTTTCCAGCATTGCTGACTGCAGTTACTCCACGCCAAATGTCCTCGGCTGGTACTAAAAAATACGAGAAAGTTCTTTATTATTTTTTCGGTTATTAGTTATTAGTTAAAAGTTTTTAGCTTCTAAAAGAGAGAAGTCCAAAGCTGGACAACCTGCTGGAGATTGATCGGGAAATGCCGGAAGTCCACAATGATCAGCAGAAATTACAGAAGGAGCACCAAACTCCATTAAATTGCGAGTAGCCGGTTTGACCTTGGCTACTCGCAATTTCCAAACAGAAAGATTAAGGCTATATAGTACTTTTTGTATACTATCGCCAATGTCGTCAATTTATTCATTTCCACTTGTGAAAGTGGAAAGTGTCACAATTCAGACATAAACTTTATTATTGTTGTTGGTATCAGTTGTGTTTTTGATCGCAACACTCTTTGTCAATTAATTCCTTAACAGTTATAAATTATACTACAGGAAATGTACCTTTCTCTACGCTTTGTGTACACTCTACTCTACTGCAGCATTTTTGTTACCAGTCAATTGTCAGTTCTCTATTTGATATTTTATTTATTTATTTAATTAACAATTATCTGCTAATCTTTGGACGTTGATATGCAATGATTGCATCTTGCAAGAGGCGATGCACTTACTGCACCGTCAAGTGTCCCGTCTGAAACCAGCAGAAGGCGAGCATGCAGGAAAGATAGTTGTTAGACTAATATTCGAGGAAAATGAGCACTAAACTTACCAAGAGAACTAGGCATGCATTCAAAATACAAATACCACTATAATTACTAATTACTAGAAAGGTATGTAAGGATTAGTAATTTAAAAAGAGGAAGAGAATTAGTGGTGGATATGATATGGTAGAGGGAATTATAATCCGAGCATAAGACCCTAAACGGACAGACGGACGGACGGACAGACATTCATGACTCGGCTATTGATGCTGATCAAGAATATATATACTTTATGGGGTCGGAAACGATTCCTTCTGGACGTTACACACATCCACTTTTACCACAAATCTAATATACCCCAATACTCATTTTGAGTATCGGGTATAAAAAACCAGCTGCACTTATCACCAAACGTGTGGTATGTTCAGAATTGGACCAAACCTTTGACCCACTAGGACTCTTTTCCCCGGTGGTAGTAAAAGAAACAATAGAACAATGAAACAACTTAGGACTCACAAACTGAGTCCGAAAGGATCTTCACATGGATTTTAACACGGTTTCAGGGTGCTTCTGGAGTGATTTCACCGTTGTGCTATCCTCATCATACCATACCTTTGATTTTAATCTCTCATTTACGGGCACATTGAGAAAAGAGACAGAAAAGACCAGATCAAATCTGTTTTGCTCAACTCGCTCTTCCCTCAAGCAAAGACCGATTTTTTCACTTCTCTTTTGCTACTGTCTTTTACTGAGAATTTTGTCGCGAGCGAACGAAAAAAGTGTCTTTTGCGTATGTATGCTTGTAGGTTTGGTGCCTATGGCAACTATGGCAGTTCACTTGCATTTGTGAATTGTATGCGGTTTGACTATTGGCTCTTAAAATGAATTTAATTTATAATGGGTATAAGCTCCATTATCATCACATCTCTTCTTCATCGTATCTGTTCAGTTTTCAGATATGTACATATGACAATATAATAACCCAATAGATGCGGAAAACATGAATATATAAGCATAAGTACGAAAAAAACTTAAAACACTTTACTCGCGACCTAACCACAGATGCACGCGTTCGAAGTTCCAATCTATTCATTGCGACAATGTAACTAACTTCGTAGGTGTAAATAACTAGCTCTAAGAATAAGAAGAAGCTATATTTAGCTCAAAGGCAAGTGCTCTGATCAGGAATCATTGCAATAAAAGACAGCCGGAATTCAAATTCATTCCCCGGGCTCTATCGTTTGGCGGTCTCTGGGAAACTGCGGTAAAATAAAAAAAAAGCTGTAATAACAACCAGCAACACAGCCTCCTTGACATTTGGGGAGCTAACACAGTGGAAATCGAAATTTATGCGATTCTCAATTCTCGATCCATTATTCTAATCTCAAATGACCCAACTGATACAACAGCGCTTAACCCGGAACACTTATTGATTGGCGAACCAACGAGGATTAAGCGACCAACTATCCGACTTATTTTTAACTCGTTTAATGTCACCGGAAACCAACTTACTACTAAAAGGGGAATTGATCATAATCATGTTGCGGAATCTGAATCCCCTAAAATTGTGCAACGGTACGCGGTTGTCCGTAAAAAAAACTGATGAGTTTTTGAGTTTTCAAACTCTATCGTGCATTCTGGTTGTCATGATTCCTTTTCCACCATCGCATACGACCTACCACACAGAAACTGAAATAGAATATATGTACAATGCATTCAGAAGCAAAAAAAAGGCCAAAGATCGTTTCATAGAAAACAAAAGATTTGCTAAGGATCCTTCCCATAAAGATCAGATTATTCATTTCAAAATAAGTAAATAGTCTGAAGGCATACAGTGCTATACACTTGGCAGATTAATTTAAAATCATTTAAATTCAGATCAACATGTCAAACCTGACAAATGTGTAATAACACTCGGCAAGGGTACAAAACACATGCACCATTGATTACGACATAAGAAAATATATAAATGTATTGAATATTTACGTTTGTTAAAAAAACTAGTATTCCGCAAGAAAATATTTGGCAGAAGAGACGGCTGGATGGAAAATGGACTGCTTAAAATAGATGTTTTCCAAGTTTGACAAATCGTTCTTATCGACGCCAGATTCATTTTGTAAATTACAATATAGATAGATGTGTTGAATAGGGCACTAGTGATGCTTTTAGAATTGTGCGATAGATCGCTGGATGTTTTCGAATATCGATACATTGTTCCAGAGATAGAGGATTTCCAAGTCTAAAAAATTCATTAAGGGCACTTGAGAGATATGTGCAAAAAAAATTTCCTTACAAGATGCCTCCAGCCACAAAATCACACACTCAATATATATATCAAATTCTTTATAATTATTGGAATTATTTATAAACTCCCTCAAATCCACAGCATTTTCATGCCAGATGTTTATAGTCTGATTTTACATATCTGCAGTCCATTTCGACATGTGTGTATTGTTCGTTTTTTTAATGTCTGCAAAATGATCTTCAATACCAAGCTACCACACTCACTCGGGGGCTTTTGGAATTTTAAGCATTATTGGTTGCGCCAATTCGATTCTTGAAATCTGACTTCAAATTCGTAATTATTGACCCCGAAGGCCCCAGGGTGATGACACATTATAAACCCGATCAACAAGTATATTTCAAAATTTTACCCCACCCCCATCCGACCACACAAAGGACGAAAATATGTGGCATCAAAAATTTTGAAGATACGAGAAAATAAAAAACGCACAATCATAGAGAATGACCATATCTACTGATTGCCGAATCTGCAAGTTTGCGGATTTCCCGAAATAATTCGATTAATATCGACCAAGGCAGATACAACTGCAGCTCTAGAATTCTTTCTGTAGCTTTGGCGCCACACCGAAGCGGATCAAACTGAATCTTCGGAAAATGCTTAAAGGAAGGAGCAGCAGAAATTACAGGATGAGCACCAGGAAAAAAGCGAGAGATACTCCAGCAAATTACGAGCAGCCAAGCCCAAACTTACTTCCAAACAGAGATGCTGCAATTTTTAAGGGGGTCCAAAGAGTAACGTTCATTCTACATATATGGATCGTTTAACTATAGTTAATGATATAGCCAATTTACTAATTTAAAATTGTGAAAATTTCACAATTCAGACCAAAACTTTGTAATATTATGGATGCAAGGTGTTGGATGGTGGATAGCGCCAGTGTGAATCGGGGTTTCACATCTTTCAAAATATCCCACCGTTCCCCGGGAAGTGCTCAGCTTGCGGGGCCTATTAGGAAACAAAGAGAGAGAGAAACTTCAGAAAATTGCGAGCAGCCAAGGCCAATGAAATTTCCAAAGAGTGCAAAGAGTAACTTTTATTGTAAATATACGAGGTGTAATAGGTGTAATGGTCAATAGTATAACCAATTTTCTAATGTACATATGTGAAAATTCCAAAAGTCAGACCAAAACTCTGTAGTTTTATGCTCATCAGCTGCTTTTTGACGGTCGGATGGTGCCAGTGTGAATCGGTGTTTCACATCTGTCAAAAAATTCCAGCGTTTCCGCCGGTATGCTCAGTTTGCAAAGCCTACTAATGTTCAAAACCATGTATGCCAATGGCAATACCCTAATAGACGATATGGGGCAAACGTCGCATAATCTGGCAAACATGGCCGACCATAGACAGGAAGGGTACCTCTGAGTTATGCAAACTAGGCAGAAAAACGTGCAACACATTCATGCGTTTCTTCACTGGATATTGGCTAATAGGCACCTATGCTAATAGTCTGGGCGTTCAACATAATAAATTTTGCAGTAGCTGCAGAAACGAGGAAGAGGAGGAGACAGTGGAACACCTATTCGCAGGAGATGGCTTTAGCGCTTGCGCTCGCCCTATTTAACTGGCATTTCATGTCTACACTGCGTCCCAGGCAGATCGATAAGTTTGCTGACAGAAAGTTCCACTACGCAGGAAACTTCTGCGCTTTGCACCAGTATCTCCAGAGGGTATAAACGGATGGCGGGTCGGCTTGCATAGCTTTAAATTCGGAATGAGGAGTAGCCACTCCGGGTTACGGCTTCCCCTGTACCCTGTCACCCGCCGTAACTGTACACAGCGGTGGAAGTGTGACTATATTCTGCCCGTGAGGGCGGCTGGAAACAGGTCCTGGTATTGTCATGTCTCTACCAGAATGCTGGCGAATGGTAGTCGGACGGAGGAGCTTGGTACTCCTTCTAAAGTACCGTAGGGACAAGACCATCCCTCTACATAAACGCCTAGGAAACCAGGTCCAAGAAGACGAGGAAGGAGACTCAGTCGGTCCACCGTCTTCAAGCAGCAGCCGCAGCGAGGGGTGGCCTAAAAAGCCAATCCGGTCCTTCCAAGTCGGGTGGCATCAAGGGCGAATCGGGTGCCGGGGTGGCTGCTAAGCAGAGCGAAATCGCGGCTCGTTAGCGCACCGTGACCGAAGAACCCATGGGAGCCCCGGCGGGCAGCGTCTCTGCTCCACGGGGGGGAAAGCCGACGTAACAGAACAGGAGACGAGTGGCTTTCATCCTGGCCAACGAGGACCCTAACTACAGGGCGTCAGCCGAAGGGATTGAGCAGAGGCTGCCAAGGCCAAGGCCAAGGCCGCCACCAAACAGCAACGCTTACTGGAGGAAACCGACCCGAGCATGGGTCGAGCCAGGAAGCCGGAGCTGCCGGAGATCCCGAAAGGGGATCCAAGGGCCAACCCGGCGTCGGATGTGGCGTCCATGGTGTCAGAAGACATCCTGGACGGCTACGTGTCCGATGAGAGTGACCTAGCCAGGGGTCTTAGCCACATCGATGTCGGCGAGGAGCTGAAGTCAGTCGGCAGCGACCTGGAAAAGACAATGGTGGAGGTGAGCCCCAGGAATGTCACTGACGCTCCTGCAGATAAACCTCCACCATTGTAAGGCAGTATGCACTGCTCTACGGCTCCATCTAGCCAGGGGTGGAGCAGACATAGTCCCCATTCAGAAACCCTGGAACCTCGGAAGCAGGGTCTGCGGTCTGAGGACTTCAGACTATTATATATACGTAGCTGAGACCGCAGGTAAAATTTGTACCTGCATACTTGCAAAAAGACAGTTGCACTTATTTTTGCTCCCAAATTTCAGCAATGAAGACCACACAGCAGTAAGCCTCGAAAGCCAGGAGCGTTCACTGAGGTACTGCTCCCCGTACATGGGACATCGGCCTAATTTTGGGGTGCGACGCGAACGCATATCACTGCCAGAGGGGAAGCACTGACTCTAACGAAAGGGGTGAGTACCTCTATATTTACTGACTGACCACACAGATGGTCTTATTAAACCAGCGGAGTGACCCAAACTTTATTATCACGCTTACCTCTCATTAGATATAGGGGAACATTGTATCCTGGAGGGTCCTGGAATAAAACTCCTTCTTGGAATAGCACGAATAGCCTCTGGCACGAATAGAGGCCGGAGGAAACCTGGATGATGGTATCCGAAACTGGGGGATCGCCGAAAAGCCTTCCGAAGACTCTTCAATAAAGCTTAGGCTGAAAACGTTGACCAGTACTGGGCCGGTTACAAGGTCAGTCTGTCAACAAAGAACTTAGGAAGGCAAAACGCGCCTCCTGGCGTAAGTTTTGCAGCGAAATCGAGAACAACTCAGAAGCTTCGCGCTTGCGCAGAGTTCTCTCGAAGAAAACACCCACCCTGGGCTACTTAAAGAACACCGACCAGTCGTGGACTACGTCCAGCGATGAGTCGCTAAATCTTCTCCTAAAAACTCACTTCCCTGGCTGCGCTGAAAACAGACCCAACTACCATACAAGTCCGCGGGGCCAGAGGGCATTATCCCTGCCCAAATGATTCACGCTGGACATAAAGCCACTAATTGGCTCAAAAGGAAAGCTGAAAGTTGGGTGAATTTTTTAGTTTCTGTAAAATGTTTTGTGGGAGGAATATCTAATAATCTTATCTTTTCTCAAGAATAACTGCTTGCCAATTTATTTTGTGATTTCACATGTCTAATGGATGAAATATATATGGATCTGAAGAGACTGCCAACATGGTAAAAAGATCTTGGTTTTGCTTAATTCGTGATGTCTTGCACATATTCATATTCCTGTATATTTTTGTGATATTTTTTTCTCGTTTCCTTTGCTTCCTCTGACATCTTTCCAATTGGTAAGCTCTGATTTTCAATTAAAGTTTGACTATGTGCCAGAATTTTAGGAAGCAGGGGAGGTAGCTGCTTCTCAGGATATTTTTCCAGTAACATCTCTGCAGTCTTCGAAGCATATTCACCAAACTTGCGGGTATTTAGTATACCTGATACTCAAAATGAGTATAGGGATATATTAGATTTGTGGTAAAAATGGATTTTTGTAACGTCCAGAAGGAATCGTTTCCGACCCCATAAAGTATATATATTCTTGATCAGTTCAATAGCCGAGTCGATTGCGCCCTATCTGGCTGTCCGTCCCTATGAGCGCCTAGTGCTCAGAGACTATAAGAAATAGAGTGAAGACATTTTGTATCCAGACTTCTGTGATATGTCACTGCTACAAGTGACAGCCACTGCAGAGCGACCAAACAAAATTCCGATGCTCTAGCTTTTACAGTCTCTGAGCACTATGCCAGACTTTGTTGACCACTGTTATTTATCATTTTCTTTCACATTAAATAGCTTTAAGCAGATGCTAAACCTTACCTTAAAGCTTTATCAAAAGCTTGAGGAATGTTTTATGTGAATTGCGTCCAAGACCTGCGCGCGCAAAAGCTCTTTAGCTGAAGAAAAAAAAGCGAGGAATCCAAGAATTTAGTTTTATGTCCGGTAGTTGCTTACATCCGTATTTTGTTACTTCGTAGGAGAAAGGAGTGTTTATTTAATACTAAATTATATCTGTGAAATCTATTAAAAACTCAGGTATGTACAAGCTTATAGAATGTATATTCACATGATTTGACAAAATCTCGTAATAGGTACATAATTACAAATAAATTATTATACAGGGTATTCATCTGTAAAATCACTGTTCTTATTGCATACATACATATATAAATAAACAGTTTTGTACATATACATTAACAAATTTGTGTTTAAAAGTAATGTTTGATGGTTTTGTTTTTTTGGTAAACAATCAGAGAAAATATTTTTGCATGAGTAGGTCTATTGATTTAATTTAAAAACAACTAGTGGGCTAGTGCGCCGAATCAAAAACAAGGTCACGTGTTTCATAAAATCTGAAACAGTTTATAATAATATAATTTAATATTTGTTGACTTGATAATATATAGAAGTATATACCAAAGTTTTCATAAGAATGCCCACAAAGTAAAGAAAAAATAAACGGGTTGTAAAAAAGTGAGCCATGGCGGAGGCTTTGTCATGTTTCGGGGTTGTGTTGCATACAGTGGGCTAGGACACTTTCCTATCACCGGCTCAATGAACCAGGGAAACTATTTATACACCCTACATGAGAAGGCATTCCCCTCCGGTAATAGGCTGATCGGAGAGTCATTAGTCCTGCAACAGGATAATGCCCCACGCAACAAAGCCCGTATGATTACCACATTTTTGAGGGATGTTGGTGTTACCACCTTGAACTGGCCTCCATAAAGTCCAGATTTGAATATTATTGAAAACGTCTGGTTTCTTTTAAAACGCAAAAGAACAGTTTCGTTCAACAAAACGAGAGAAAATGCAATTTCTGAGCTCAATTCCTTTTGACTAGCGGTATCTCCGGAGATCCATCAAAATTTAGTGAATTCTGTAACACGGCGACTCCAAAAAATTATTGAAGCTAAAGTGGGATATATATTTTATTAAATTTTGCTTAAACTTTGTTATTTAAATTAAACAATCTTGTCAAAATACTTATGCCATACTGTGAAATTACTTATTAATTCAAATCTTTTTAAGTTTGAATGAAAACATATTTGTTTCTTTATTTTAAAGTTTTTATTTGTTATATATTTAAAAGAAAAATAAATCAAAATTCTTAATAAAGCCACAAAAAAGTTATGCTAAAAAATACACGATTTTTACTTCGCCGACTAGTGTACACACACTAGTATGACTATATTAGCCATATGATAAATTAACTGATATAGTTAAAATTTCCCTCCAAAATTAAACAAATATAAGATTCTTTTAACTTGCAGTTTTGTTATAGTGTCATTTTAATAAGCTAGTTTTATACAAAATCTGTAGATGAAAAATCTTACCAGTACACCTTGTTTAATTTCAATTACAGTCGTATTTTGTAACAGCCAATCAAATTCTGGCATCAAACGCACTTTTTTGGAATAATTTGAGTGTGTTAAACTTAGTTTCCAAGATCCTTGCAAGTTCGAAGATATAATGATTGTAGTTGTGCAACGGGGAAAATTTTTAGCTTTTGTTCATCTTTAGCTTTTGACTGTTCGATAGCTGCAGACGATGAATACCGATAACACCGATACAATAAATTCAATCAAATTTTAAAATGTAATCGTCTTTTATACCTTAACATGTTTAATACCACAAATGCCGGTGGCATCCACAATTTTAAAGATACCAGTAAACCGAATCGCGGAATCATCTTATTTAGTAGTTTGCATAGTCTGGATCAGATTGGATTATTATTATAGTCAAAAAGTAAAGAAAACAATCCAGTGGCGTTTCGTTTGCCGGAAAAGAGACAGAGAGATTTACGATGTGGTATGGAAAAAGCTGGAATATTGGTCATTAGGTGGAAAGAGGATCAGTACACGTTAAATTAATCATAATATTGCATATTGTGTATTCATACAAATTAAGTGCTGGTACACTAGTGTGGCGGCACGTGCGGCTGCGATTCACACGATGGGACTTGTTTATATGTAATTTAAAATCAAATTTTTGGAAAATTTTGAATTTTGTAGCGCAAAACAAAACACATTTATACGTCTATTAAAACTTAATAATATTTTTTAGAATGCCTGCGGATCCTTCCGAAGAAGTTGCCGGACCTCAGGTCCCCAAAACAGAGCTGGAGGAGCTGCAGATTGCAGCACAAGGAGTAGCTGATGAGGTTGGTATTTTGAGGAACAAATTATGCTATTATTATTTTATTATGCTATTCCGATTTTATACCCGATACTCAAAATGAGTATTGTCTGTCCGTCCGTCCGTCTGTGATATGTCACTGCTACAAGAATATTTCAAAACTTCGCCCCGCCCCCACAAAGAACGAAAATCTGTGGCATCCAAAATTTTAATGATACGAGAAAACCAAAAACACAGAATTGTAGGGAATGACCATATCTTTTAGACTGCAGAATCTGAATTGGATCGTATTATTATTATAGTCAGCATCAAGAAAACAATTTCATTTTTTTTCGCCCTGCTACACACGTAGCATAGCCGGCTTTGCTTAGAGTAAAACATTAGCGCCTAGATCTCAGAGACTATAAAAGCTAGAGCTACCAAATTTGGTATCCACACTCCTAATATATCGGACCGAGACGAGTTTTTTTCAAAATTTCGCCACGCAAAGGACGAAAATCTGGGGATATTCACAAATCTCAGAGACTATTAACGCTAGAGTAACCAAATTTGGTATCCGCACTCCTGTTAGATCTCACTATAAAACGTATATCTAACGGAAATTACCGTTTGAGTCTAGGAATTGGAAATGCTGAAAATATTGATTATTCTTTTCTAGACAAACATTAATATATTATTATTTTTGCTAAACTTTTTTTTCAGTCACTGGAAAGTACGCGGCGAATGCTTGCTCTCTGCGAAGAGGTAAGTGTATGAAAAAATATGAATATATATTAGAAAAAGTAAAGAAATATATTTAGGACTTATGCTATGGTAGTTTTAATCCTTATAAAAAATAATATTTATTTGTTATTATACATCTCCCTATTAAAGTGTAAGATGGTTTGGGTCGTAAAAATGTATCCTAAAGATACAAATGACCGACACCAAGTTAATGTTCAAGAGTATAGGGGTATAGAAGATTAATGGGGCAATTTGATATGCGTAACGCCCAGATGGAAACGTTTCCGACCACGTGAAGTATATATATTCTTGATCAGCCATGTCTGTCTGTCTATCTGTCCGTCTTGACGTTTAGCTCTCGGAGACTTAGAGCTAGAGAAACCGAATTTTGAATTGAAAATCATGTGATTTCAAACGGAATCAAGTTTGTTTCATGATTTTAGCCCCTTCCGCTCTCACAAAGGACGTCACTAGCTAGCGTCTCGTCAATTCCGATCCCATCAGTAAATTGACATTCTGGACCTCTGGATATTGCCATCATAGGTAATAGGAATTTGTTGGGGGGGTCCCACCAAAACGACAAATTTTTTGTCTCACGGCTGGCCACTGACCTCACATCTATTGATGTAATTGCTTTTATTCAAAGCAAAATAAAAGCCTTGGGTTTGAAGGTGGAGAAAACTTAGACTTCTCTTATGCCAGGGAGATAGCCTCGTTTAAGATAAGCATCTCCCCAACTCAATTTGGAACTCTTCCGCTTACTACACCTGAAGACGCCTACCATCCTACTTTCGAAGTGTAGCTAGTTATAGGAACAACTGTATTGAAGCGGTCGAGTAGGCTATCTGAACGTGTCTAGTTCTTTCGTAAAGCCGAGTTTGCGAAGCTTAATAACCTCATTAGGGATTTCGATTGGTCCGCTTTGTACGTCATGATCAGATCTGACAGTCGGAGGCACTGCAAAGAAGATGGCCACCCTGCTCACAGGCCACCTACTGCTTGCATGTGATGTTAGAATGAGATCGCCGCTGAGATCACGGAGGCTGGACGCACCTGTCAACCATCCGCTTGTATGGAGGCGCGGTCAAAAATACTTCTAATGGTAGTAGAAGAGTGGCCCCAAGCCCCACCAATAAACAAAATTCAGCAAATAAGGAAATACAAGCTATAATAATGTTTTATAATAATTATTGTCACAGTTATTGTCATAGACAGTGATTGCAGGGGGGCGGATCGAGTCTTAATTCTCCAACGACGAGATTGATGGTCAAGTGAAACTCATAGCCGTCGCAAGAGAAGAAAGGCCGATTGGTTTGGTGTTTTATATATGTAGGTGAATTTATTTATCTGGGTGTTCGCGCGGTAGGTCAGCAGGTTGAAACGGGGGTGAAAACGTAACTAAATTCTAAGCCTTAGGTTAGGCTAGGTTAAGGAGGTAGCCGGGGAGGGTTGTTTGGGTTTGGATAATCAGCATCAATAGCCGAGTCGATTGAGCCATGTCTGTCTGTCCGTCCGTCTGTCCGTCTGTCTGTCCGTCCGTCCGTCCGTCCGTCTGTCCGTCTGTCCGTCCGTCCGTCTGGCCGTCCGTCCGTCTGTCCGTCCCCTTCAGCGCCTAATTCTCAAAGACTATAAGAGCTAGAGCAACGATGTTTTGGATCCAGACTTCTGTGATATGTCACTGCTACAAGAATATTTCAAAACTTTGCCCCGCCCCCACAAAGAACGAAAATCTGTTGCATCCACAATATTGAGGATACGAGAAAACTAAAAACGCAGAATCATAGATAATGACCATATCTGCCAGATTACTGAATCAGATCAGATAATTTTTATAGCCAAAAGGAACAAATCAATTTGCACTGGCTACGCAGCGCCCGACGTCACGCTCAGACTGATTTTCTGTCTCTCTCGCACACACTCTTTGTCGTGTCGTTTAATATTAGCGGCGTCTGCCGGAGGAGAGCCATACTGACTAAGTATCGGGTATAAATGTAGAGTTGCGGTACCCGCAGCAACTCACAACGTTCCCCCTCGTTTACTGTAGGTTAAATGAGGATTTTAGTCAAGGTTTATTTTAAAAAACAAGTGGTATTTGCTATATAAAAGGAAAGAAGCTAAGCGCAAAACAAAAGCTCTTCAGGTCACTACGAAAGAGAACGAACGATCCTGACATCTATGAGATGATTTTAATGACCTTTAGAGCAGCCTGCTCGCCAAGCACTGCGCATTACGTGAAGACTGTGAATGCTGAATAGTTTCGACACTCAGATCCACGAACAGTCAAGGTCATCATCGACTGTCATTATGTGGATGACTGTGCAAACAGCCATCAGCGTATAAGCGTGAGCTATCAGGCAGAGATATCGAGTGGGTTTTTAATTGCCCAGTGAATCCATCTGAAGGAGAAGTCTAGGAACGAATGGTGCAGTGCGTCAAGAAGGTCCAGTGCTACACATTGATGTAGGTAGCGCCGAGGTATAACGTACTGGTGAATTTCCTGACCGAGGTGGAGAACATCGTGAATTCACGTCCACTTGCCAGTGGATGCGGACCAAGAAGACCCCCTGACGCCAAATGATCTGCTCAGAGGAGTTGCTAACTTGTCGCACACTCCGGTTAAAGATGTGAAGCTGGCCGAGGAGTGCGATACACGCAAGCATTGGCATATAGCGCGACTAATGAAGGACCGTTTCTGCCTATATTTAGTCCTTTGTATATCAAAATGTATGTAATTTTGAGCCATGGAATGAACAGGCATATTTTTCGGCCGCCATTAGTTGCCTAATGTTGTTAAACCGATCCCTTCCGCTCAGTATACTTGAAGACGCCTACCATTCTACTTTCGAAGTGTCGCTCGGTATGGGACCAACTGTATTTGATCGCTCTGGTAGGCCATCAGAACCGGTCCGCTGCTTTCGTAAAGCTTGCGAAACTTTATACCGTCATTAGAGATTTAGATTTGTCTGGTCTTTAATAAAGCACTGCTTAAAATCAAGTCTTTGTAAAAAATGTAAAGAAGTTGTTTCCCCATCTTCTATTTCTCGCAATATAATAGTTTGATCAAATTCAGGATTCATTGCCGGGTCAACCCTCAACAGGGCGCAGACAACCATAAATTTGGGGCCCTTCATTTTTGTTTCCTTTTTTACATATTTCATATTATCTATTTCATTAAACTAAATATTTTTTAAAACATCTGATTCAATGCAAAGTACGATTATACCCAACATTTCAAGTCCTGCTGGTCGCATTGTCCTTCAGTAGCTCTTTATACCCGATACTCAAAATGAGTATAGGGGTATTTAGATTTGTGGTGAAAATGGATGTGTGTAACGTCCAGAAGGAATCGTTTACGACCCCATAAAGCATATATATTCTTGATCAGCATCAATAGCCAAGTCGATTGAGCCATGTCTGTCTGTCCGTCCGTCCAGAATGAAGAAAACAATTTCATTTTTTCTCGCCCTGTCTCTCTCTAACACACAAGTATAATAGCCGGCATAGCTTAGCGCAAAAAATTAGAGCCTAGATTTCCGAGACTATAAGAGTTGGAGCAACCAAATTTTGTATCCTATGATATCGAACCTGCACAAGTATATTTCAAAACTTCGCCTTACCCCCTTCCGCCCCTTCAAAGGACGAAAATCTGAAGCAACCACAATTTAGAAGATAGGAGAAAATTAAAAACGCACAATCATAGAGAATGGCCATATCTACCAGAATCAGATCGGATTATTATTAAAGCCATTATTATTATTATCTCGCACGCACTCTTTGTCGTTTAATGTAGCCATACTGACTAAGTATCGCGTATTAATGTAATGTTGCGGTCTCAGCAGCAACTCACAACGTTCCCCCTCGTTTTCTTTTTAATTGCGAAAAGAATAGTTCGACAGAACAATTTGTGATCATTAATTTAGTTTTTTGTAATCCGAAAAGCTATTCTGTGTCTGCAAATACATCTGCTTGAATCTTATAAAATTATAATGACTTTTTTGTACATCAAAGTATCTGGAGTTCACGGTGCTTTTGAACTGTTTCAGTTTAATGAAATCTCCTCCAAATCTCAAGAATAAAAACTAACTAAACTATTATAGCTTTGTGGAGGTCATCGTCGCTTAGAGAAAAGTTGATAAGAAATGCAAATCTTTCGGAAGCTTCCATATACACTTTCGCCGCGGTGATTGATTTCGGTGGCAAACTGACGATGATTTTGGATAAGGTAACCTCTTGTCCTGAAATTATCGCGATGTGAAAATTCCTCTTCTGGAGTATTTCCGTCGTTAGGCTGGTTTTTATACGAGTATGTGTTACGATCAAGAAACATGAAACCAAATTCGATTTTGTATAGCCTTTTTCAATACGCCCCATCGATGGGTGGAAGCTGAAGAAAATTATGTAATGTCTGCATAGTGGCAAAAAATTCTGCATAAAAACAGCACTTCAGAACATGTTCTCCAACCAGATTAAGGCAATGCGCGGAGCAGGCAACATACATAGATTGAATTTGCATTTAGTCTCAAAATTCTTGCTTATACTTTTAAAACATTTTCAATGCGTTGTCGTTGGATGATCCACTACAATTTTGGTAATCAGTAATAAATATGAAAAATTAAAAAAAAAAATTCACCAGTATGGACATACTGACTGAAAATAAGTTATAAGCCTTTAAACATTTTTTCCGTTTTGCAAAAGCCTCTTTAAATAGGGGGCAGCTGGAAACTGACTATTTTGTGTTAGGGTTAGTCCGTCCCTGTAGGATTATCTGGATAAGAAATTTCCAGGAGCCTAAACAGTTTTACAGCTTCGTAAAAAGTAAACCTTCTACACACCCTTGCTCGCTGTCATTTCTTAATACGTCAACAACCCATTAAGGGGCAATGGGCACCCATTAAGATATCGCCATTATTTTTCTTGTTAAGTAAAGAGGAAGTTGGATCTAAAAGGAGCAATTTTCAAGCAGCATAATTTTTTGGGGCTTGTGAAAATAAATAATACAACTAAGGCCCGAACAATAACAAGGGGGAACGTTGTGAGTTGCTGCGGAGACCGCAATTCTACATTTATACCCGATACTTAGTCAGTATGGCTCTCCTCCGGCAGACGCCGCTAAAATTAAACGACACGACAAAGCGTGCGTGCGAGAGAGACAGAAAATCAGTCAAAATTGACTTTTCTTTTTGCCTATAAAAATGATTCCATCTGATCCAGATTCAGCAATCTTATAGATATGGTAATTTTTAGTTTTCTCGAATCTTCAATATTGTGGTTGCCACAGATTTTCGTCTTTTGTGAGGGTGGAAGGGGGTGGGTCGAAATTTTGAGATATACGTTTTATAGTGAGATCTAACAGGAGTGTGGATACCAAATTTGGTTTCTCTAGCCTTAATAGTCTTTTAGATTTGTGGATGCCCCACATTTTCGTCCTTTGCGAGGGCGTGTGTGTGGCGAAATTTTGAGAAAACTGTCATGGTCCGATATCACAGGAGTGTGGATACCAAATTTGGTTGCTCTAGCTCTTATGGGCTCTGAGATCCTTGAACTCACATTTTGCAATAGGCAAAGCTGACCATGAAACCTGTGTGTTAGAGAGAGACAGAGCGAGAGAGAATAAAATTGTTTTCCTGATTCTGGCTATAATAATTATACGATCTGGTTCAGATTTTGCACTCTGGAATATACAGTCATCCTCTACGATTCCGCGTATCTTGTGCGTTTCCCCGTATCTTTGAAATTGTGGATGCCACAGATTTTCTCTCTTTGTAGGGCGGAAGTGGGAGGTGCGAAGTTTTGAAATATAATTGTAACAGTGACCAATCGCAGAAGTTCGGATATAAAATGTCGATGCTCTAGCTCTTATAGTCTTTGAGCACTAGGCGCTAATAGGGACGGACAGACAGACAGACAGACAGACTGGGCTTTATCGACTCGGCTATTGATGCTGATCAAGAATATATATAGTTTATGGTTTTGGAAACGATTCCTTCTGGACGTTAAACACATCCATTTTTACCACAAATCTAATATACCCACCCCAATACTCATTATGAGTATCGGGTATAAAAATCACACATTCGGCTTACACAGTTCCGCATGTCCTTTGTGCAATACATATGTACTAGAGCCTTGCCATTCGGGATTCGTTTCGTTCTAACCAAGCTTTGATTGGAGATGGCATCTATAAAGGAAAAGAGGAGGTGGAGAAGGCGAAGGTTTGGGGTAGCGACAGCCCTAAAATTTGATCAGTCTCACTGTATCTTTGCAATTATATGTGATCCACGAACTATAAATTTAATAAATTTTGTTTACAACAGATAATAACTGCTTTAGGGATACTTAACAAACTCCTAATAAACCCGTATTGGTGAAAGTGGAAGAACACGCAAATTAACTGTGATTATGCTGCTTTCTTGGCAAACCGTTCACTTGCGTTGACATCGTCGATTCTTTAACAGACAGAATATTTTTTCAAAGTCGGACAAAAACGGCCATTTCTCATAATCAAGTTTTTTAAAGTGGTCTTCTAATATACATACATATATAAAGTACATCTTGAACGTACCAAAGCTATACAAATAATTCGATAAAGTATTTAAGCTTCGGTTCACCGGAGTTAACATTCCCTTCTTATTCATGATATGTCGTATCCTATGAACCCATAGCAAAGCGTAGTACATTCACATACATTTATACGATTCAAAGAGTTTCTTAGGTTTTAATACTTTGTTTAAATACATTAAAAGTCATTACATTCTGTTTATCGAATTTTGAACATATAACTACATAACATAACTAAACAATATTAACACAGACTTATACACTTTTAAAAATTATTTACATTCCAATTTGCTGCACAACAGAGCAAGGAAGCAGGAATACGTACACTTGTAGCCCTTGATGATCAAGGAGGTGAGTCCACTGCTAACAGAACAATATATCACAATATTATAACATACATATTATACGCTTATACGATAAACATTTGTTAAAGAGATAACTATTTAATCGTAACACTATGCAATTATTATTTATTTTATTTAGTTGTTTTTTTTTTTTATAGTTATTACAAACCTAAAGTATTAGGAAAGAAAAGAATATGACTTTCGACTTTTTGTTAAGCCAAGCCATTATTACAAGTGTGAGCACTTTTTCCAATATATATATATATATGTTTTTATTTTGTTTAAAATTTTTTTTTGAAAATGGTCTGCATTTTAATTACATTTAATTCATTTTGAATGGTCTGGTTTGTATTTTTATCTGGTCAAGTTAATAAGCACTCATCTCCCAAAATGAAATAGTGAAATGCACTTGCTTATTTAAATTTAGGTTGGGACGGAAACAATGTCATTAGAAGATATGATCGTAAACAAATCTATCTACAGACGGAGAGATGCTGTTTGCCATCTGATCGTTTAGGGTTCATGAGCGGCTCAATGATGAAAACAGAACATCTTAACAGTTTTTGGAAAATGTCATAAAGAAACGTTATTAAAAGAACAAAAAATTGGCTGTATTGCTAAAATGCCTGTACTTTGCAGAGGCAATTAAAGTATTCCTGATCGTCTTTACCCATTTATATAATCATATACAGGGAGGCACCTGTTGTCATTTTGTTATCGATACGAGCACGTTTGTGCTGTTTTGATAACCAAATCGGACTGCGTCTGCTGTCAATTTTGGTTTGGAAAGAAAAATTATTGTTAAAGAAGGCACCAGCTAATTGCACTGGGAATAGTGTCAAATTTATGTTAATTTATCAATAGGTCATCTATTTGCTTGAAATTAAGATTTGATTTGTTGTATATAAAGCGGTTTACTTTTCATTTCAATGAGGAAAATGTTTTTGTTTTGAAAACAAAGAAATATTGTGGATTGTGAAAACGGTATTACCAATTTATGTGATTTCAAAAGTAAGTCGGAAAGCTGTTTTGAGAGTGAAAACCGGAGATTGGCTGATATTGTTCAGATGATTCATTGCTTCGGTTTACATTGGAAGGCGTTTCTACTCCTGCGGCAGAAGACCCTATTCCTCGATTTATCCTTATCACAATGATAGAATGTCAGATGCTGAACCATTTTCTATTCTTGAAGTCTGAAAATAGCACTTAATATATTGGTTATCGAATCGACTTTTTTAATAAATCTGGTATTGTATGATATTTTTCGTCTGTTGTCATGAGATTTTACACTTTTGATATTTAATCTTACATAAATATATATGGAATTATACAATTTGTTATACATATACAATAGTGTAAAATTATCGCGTACTTTTGCGTTAACAATTCTAAGATAATTAAATATATATTATTTTAAATTAGAACTAGAATTTGTATTCATTCCCAAGTCGTTTTGCGACATTTAAATGAATAAAAGGAGCTGTTCTTCATTCTCGTCATTCTTCGCCAAAACGAAGGGTTAAATAACAGAGGGCATAATAGGCTAAAAAGCTGGCCGCTCAAAGTATTAAACGCAATTAAAGTTAAGTAACAATCGATATTCTTTAGCTACACCGGGCGGATAAAATCATAAATTTTACACTTTTATGGAGAATGTTTAATACAAATAATTAAAAAAGGAATGTTAGCTTTACGGTCTTAAGCTTTTGATACCATTGAATAGTAATCCGAATTTGATTATTTTTAACATTTTTATAAGGAGTAACAGAAAACTAGCTTTAGATTTTCATTGAGATAGCTAAACCAAAAAAAAAACTTGTAGGCCTAGTAAAAGACGGACAGTGGGAGAAATTAATGTTATATACATTCACGATCAACTGAAATAATTTGTATTTTTTAAATTGCAATGATTTTAGTTTGTGGTCTAAACATAATGAGTTACCGATGTCAATGTCTTTTCATATATGAATTCAAGATTTTGTAGCGGTTTGTTGTGAAATTGGTTGCGAGAAACAATTGCTCGATCATATCGCTATCCCCCCTCCTAGGAGACGATGAGCTCATCCGAGTTGGTGGTAGACTTGAAGAAGCTCTACTTTCATACAACGCAAAACACCCAGTTTTGCTACCATACAATGAAACAATCGTCAAAATGATCTTGCCTGAACTCCATGAGGAGAACATGTATTGTGGTGCTCAAGCATTAAGGGCGATTGCAAGACAACGATATTGAATCATCAATGACAAGACAATGGCTAGGAGCATCATGCACAGCTGTGTTAGATGCACAAAGGCTAGACCAAAGCTGATGCACCAGATCATGGTCAATCTTCCAGCACAAAGAGTCACACAAGCACGCCCATTTCTGTGGACCAATTTCGATCCACCATAAGATCCGAGGCAAAAGACCAGATAAGGCATACATCGCCGTGTTCTGCTGCTTTTCCACAAAGGCAGTGCACCTGGAGCTGGTAAGCGTCCTGACCACAGATGCATTCTTGGCAGCCCTGCGTCGATTCTTAAGCAGACGTGGGAAGTGCCAAACTATTCATTGCGACAATGCAATGAACTTTGTTGGTGCAAACCACCAGCTCAAAGAATTAGAAGAATCCATATTCAGCTCATAGGCAAGTGCTCCGATCACGAATCATTGCAACAAAAAACAAGTGGAATTTAAATGCATTCCTCCCAGGGCTCCATCGTTTGGCGGCCTCTGGGAAGCAGCAGTAAAATCAGCAAAAATTGGTATTGGAATTGGTATTGCGCCTAAAGCATTCATTCTGGAAAAAATGGTCTACGGAATACCTCCAAGAACTGCAAGCTCGGCATAAGTGGAAGACCGCTTTACCAAACGTACCTGAAGGAGTATTAGTTTTAGTAATGAAGTGTCCAATGGGTCGCATCATTAAGACATATCCAGGACAGGACAACCACGTAGTTGTGTTAAAGTAGTTGATGTTTAAACAGCATTTGGCGTATACAAGCGCCCGATCATTCGTCTGGCGCCGCTATTTCGCGAAGATGCGGCAATCAGACGTTCCAACAACGTGATCAATGACAACACAGAAAATGATGAGCCACCCAAGCAGCGAACAAAAATATTTGTACCTAAATTAACATTAACATTATTAGTGCTGTTGCTCATGCTTCCATTAGCATTGTCACAGTCAATAAATGTGACACAATTCGCAAACAAGCCTGGAATATTCTATGAGAAGCTTGGAACATTGAGAATAGCAACTTCTGAGTGGACCATGATCGTATACTATGACTTGGACCCATATGGATATGCAACTAATGTCTGCTGAAATGTCAGAGTTACGACACATGTGCCATGAACTGAAATATGTTCCGGCATACAACTCCATAGTTCAACACTTTCAACATGTGTATAACGAGCTACAAGCAGGAAGCGCTTTAATGAAAAACTCTCGAAAACGAAGATCGCCGCTGGATATCATAGGAAATGTCGCAAGCAGTCTTTTTGGTGTTCTCGACGCAAAATGCGCTGAGGAGATGACTCAAGTAATTGAGAAAGTGGAAACCAATGAAGACTTTCTACTACATCTACTCCAAAACCAAACATCAATTGTCGACGCGACGATAAACGTAGTCAGAAAAGACAAAGTATCAACTGATAATCGCCTGAAAGTTTTGGAACAGCAATTGACTACTATCAACCGACAAAGAGGGTCATATCACAGCGATATTATCACAGTTAACCCTGCTCACAACAACTCTCCAACGAATGCAATCCGACATATCTGATGTCCTAATCGGTATTCATCATCGGTATTCATTCATGTCTCTCGACCAACTAAGAGACCAACTAGACCAGATACGGGATCATTTGCCACAAGATTAAATGCTGCCGGTCACAACGAAAGAGGTGATTCAACTATACAGAATCATGCGAGCCGAAGGAACCCCGACTTCAGCATACGTCATCTTCAAGTTGACGCTACCTCTGGTCTCAACAATTCATCTCGAAGTCTTCAGCATCATACCAATTCCTTTCTGGGATTCAACAAGATGGAGTCTGTTCGACCTCAGAACCACCATAATAACTATAAACATCCACCGAGACCTCGGCACTACGCAAGAGGAATTCCGACGTTGTCTTAAAGTACACAACAAGGAGTTCATCTGTTTTGACGTCTAATGGTGAATGATCTTCAATGTGGACAATCGCTGCGAGTTGCAACTGCTTAACAATAAAACAGCAACACTATGTCAGGTAACACAAACAAAGGCTGACATAGTGTGGCAAAAAACTCAGCATCCAAATAGATGGATCTTCGCAAAGCATTCTACAACTAAACTTCAAGCAGTACGCAACGAAGTTCCTTCAACTATAACACTGGCAGGAACTGGCCTATCAAAGCGTACATCAAGCCCGATCAATCCAATTGGGCTAAGCAGATTAGCTTCAGCAGATTTGCAGCCGTCAAAATAGCCCATGTCGTGTTGCTTTTGGCCAAAACATGATTACTGGCGGTTCCACGTATCAACTTCTAAGAAACCTCAGTATGTTGTAAGACCGAACGGTAGTCTTTGATCGCGACGATTCCTTCGAGCTAATTCGCAAGACAGCTGCAGAAGCAAAGCAACAGCAGCCTGTCCGAAACGAAAATATCTATAATCTTTAAAGCCGAGAAGTAAACTTTCAAGTGGGTCAAGAGGTTTATAGACGGAATTTTTACCAGAGTAGTTTTGTGAAAGGTTTTAATGCGAAACTGGCACCTACTTTTCGGAAAGCCCGCATTAAAAAAAGACTCGGTAACAGCTACTACGAGTTGGACGATTTCCAGGGTCGCTTTATTGGTAAATATCATGCAAAAGATATTAAACAAGCACTCCAAGTGTGCACTCCCCAAAGTTTGATTTCAGCGGGGGGGTGTAATATTCGACGCTTGTCGTGCCTTTTGATTTGAATTATCAAAGGCTAACTCCAAATTTACAGCCAAAACTAGGCCGTACAAAAAATTCGAGTTAAAGATCGTGTGA